CTGGTAATTTGTAATGTTAGCAGGGTCATTACAGAGACTATTGGCTAAATATAATACTGTATGCACTTGATTATCCAACAGATAGATATCGTGAGCCTCCTCTGATCAAAGTTTGCAGCTAGCTAGACTCGTGGAGTTTGCTTTAAAATTAAAACACAAACATATTCTTTGTCCTTGAAGAGTCCAGTAATGTAGTAGAGGAAACCAAATATGGAAATGCAAAAGCATGACTAACAAAGTGTGGAAAATGACAGAGAAGGTACTGGACAAGTAATTTAGGGGTGTGAGCTGGAGGGTTTGATCACCCTGAGTGGAGCAGAGAGCATGGGCTTGAATATGGAGCAGCACAGCACCACAGCACAGAATACGTGCTCTGGAACTGTTGATTTTCCTGGAAAAAAATTCAAGTTGGGGACTGAAGAAAGGTTGTCAGGAACTTGGAGAGAAAAGATGAAGGTATTTCAAGCAGACTGGAAACAAAATGTTGGATCTGAAATACTGGGCTTCAGTTACTAACAATAGCAGTATCAGTCCCTTAGGTGCATAACTGCATACACTGTACAAAGCATGTTCACAGACATTATTACATTTAATCTTCACAAGCACCTCATGAAGTAAGTTTTTCTAGCTTCATTTTGTGGCTAAGGAAACTTAGGCTTAGTGGTATATGAACCACTGACGATTTGGTAGAAGTTTCTGGCAAAAAGAGGGATGTACACATAGGAAAAGAGAACTGAGCATCTTCCAAGGACTAGGCATTTTGCATGGTTATTTTCACATAATTTGTTTATCTAACAATCTAACATTTAATTTTACAACAACACTGGGGATATTTGCTATTATTTTTGTTACATAGACAAAGAAACTGAGGCTCAAAGACATCAAGGAAAATTAAGACCTAGGAACAGACATTTTCAGATGTGACAGCAAGTCCAGCAAGACTCCTGCATTCCTGTGGCACGGAGTCTCTGCTCTCTCTACATGGTTTCAAACAAATCTCCCTTTCACATTTTCACAGAAACATCTAGATATTGCCTATCTAAAGCACTAGAGGCATTAATATGGCAAACCAGTGGGTTTAACCTTTCAAAACAAAGTTAGTTGTTTTGTTTCAAAGAATTTCCAGTTGGTAGTATGAGAGGGAAATCTCTCTCTCTCTCTCTCTCTCTCTCTCTCTCTCTCTCTCTCTCTCTCTCATAAGCTGGAGTATTGCCGATATAGCCAACAGTACAGCTACAAACTACAAATACGGCCTTGAAATATCCATGAACATCTTTACTTACAAAATAAATTGCCCTTTCAGGGAATGTTTTATGATTCTACAAACTTAAAAGTAATATAAAAAATGGGAAATTCACTTTCAAACTATTTTGCGTTGTTTTCTACATTTTTACAATTAAATCTGTTCCCGTTCCCTGAGAGCAAAGGGCTGTTGCTGAGAACAGTGAGGCTTGCTGTGATGTTCTGAGGCACCAATAGGTGCCAGATCCTCTATCCATCAAGGGTGCTTTCAGATTTGCCATCGGTATTGGATGGATCACTGCAAGCCCACAATTTCTAAATTATTTATGTAAAAACTACTCTATATACATGATGATTTCCCATACTTCACTGTCCTAGGTTTTCCTTTGCTAGATACATGGCCATTTGTTTTTTGGTTGTTGCTACTGTTGAGATATTTCTACTAGATGAGATTGCTCTAGGTGAGATTAAGTCCTAATGCTTTATTCTCATCAAATGGCAAGCAGCTCGAATTGTATAAAACTAACCACTAAAAAAGATCTTTTTGCAGTTCTGACTTGCATAAAGCAAGTTGTTAATTGCTCTCTCTCTCTCTCTCTCTGTGTCTCTCTCTCTGTTAATTGTCACTGATAATTGCCACTTCCCAGGGAGTGACAGAATATGGGAATGTTAGGTTGATTGACTTCCCTGTCTATCTTAAGTCATTTGTAACAACAAATGGATATGCAGGAGCTGGTAGGCAAATGAATTTATGGCCTTAAATTTTACTGCTTAGGTTGAGTTTACATATTCTGTATTAGTTGTTTAAGTATTGTGTCCTTGTCTATTGCTGTAAGTCTGGGCAGTTATAAGTTGTTACATAAGATCTATTGAAAGACAAAGTCTTATCTCTAGAAGTTGACTTATCATTTATATTCTCTTGCATTTATACTTAGGAACTATCAAACAACTTGATGCTAATACATTTCTTGGTAATTTTCAATTACTTATAAAATAATGTGTTAGCAACAGAGCTTAAGCCACATTGAACAAAAGATTGGAAGATGTTGGTAGATGTTTCATAAAGAGTATTAAACTTGATTTAATTTTTGCCTCTACTTACTGGTTCAGTCCTTAAGGAAGATGAAGAATCCTCCCTTTCCTTGAAGGTTTCATTTCATAGACACTGAATGACAGTTCTTTGTTCCAAGTGAAAGAAAATTTACCTTTAAGTATAATCATCTTAGAAATGATAGACTGAATAACATGAATGATAATTGTCATCCAGCAAAAAGATAGAAGTTTCACCCAAATTCGCCTATTCCATCTTTTTACCAAATATTCTGGAAGCACAATTCTGGTTCTCTCTGCTCACCATGGTTACTCCAACCTCTAATCACATGCTGACTGTGAAAACATTCAAAGTTGTTGATATCATGATTAACAAGACGATTTTCATTATCTAGTGATACTTAAGTCTCTCTCAGTCCACATTTCCTGCTGTGGTGGTGAGTATCTGACTTTTATTGGCACTTACTTAAAGAAAATAATTTTAAGGGTGCAGTAAATATATGCTGAAAAGTCTGAAGCTGGCCACTGGGTTAATCTTAAACAGGTTTCAGTTCTATAAGTACATTTGCAAACCTTAAACAGCAGTTAGTGTAACATATTTTAATACTTTTTGGAGTATGCAACAATCCCACAAGCTATTACTGAGTAGAGACGATGACATTTCACAAGTTTCCAAATTTGGATTTATTGAACTCTTCAAAATTGCAGTGTCTTTTCAAACTTGCTTTTATCAGTTATCATCATCACTGTTTTCTTTATTATGGTTGTTTCCAGCAATTTAAATAGAAAAATATATTTCAAGGTGAACTGTGTACATGCCTGCATATAAGCACAGGAAATAGCATTTTAGCTACACGTTTCCTAGCCCTTGCCAGTGAATAGAACCATCGTTCTATATCCAGGCTGCATATCATACTCACTTGTGGGATTTAACAAATAATGTAGATTTTAGGCCATGCCCTCAAAATTCTTGTTCACTAGCTCCAAGGTGGGGGTCCAGCCATCAAATCATATTCATATTCGTGTTCATACATATACCAGTACTGGATTGAACCCAGGGCCTTCACACTGAATTACATACTTAGCCCTTTTTTATTTTTAGACAGCATCCTGCTAAGTTGCTAGTTGCCCAGGCTGGGCTTGAATCTGCTGTCTCAGGCTCCCAGAGTGTTGGGATGACATGTATGTCACTATACCTGATGCAATCCCCAACTCAGTCTTCTGATTTTTAAAAAAGGGTCACACAGCCAAGCACTGTCAGTGAAAGCATTTAGACATCAATGGTTAGTCACTTTTCAGAGATGAATGACAGAAGGAAACAGAAAAAAATGGAGCCAGCCTTCTTCAGTATGAAGGGAGCTGCCTAAGAAGAATGTTCCTCTGAAAAAATACAGTGCCATAAGGGCAGCTGGAAGTTGACCAACTTCAACAGAAGAGGTTTCTGACTTCTTCCTTTCAGATCTCTCTCCTCTGGGGGATGAGGCAGGACTCTTCCTGTGTTAGCTTTTTGTTACTGTAAGGAATACCTGAGATAACCAAGGTTTATTTTGGCTGACAGTTTTGGAGTTTCAGTGCATTGATCAACCTGCTGGTTTGGGGCCTGTTTCAAGGTAGTACATCATGGTGGCATGGTGTGGTAAAAGTGCTCACCTCATGACCAGGAAGCAAAAGCATGACCAGAAAGCAAAAAAGGAGAAAGAGGAAGAGCCTGGGGTCTACAGTCCTGTTCAGAACTAATGATCAGAAAGAAGGCTTCACACTAGGCCTTATTTGAAAGTTCCCACTACCCCCCAGTGGCACAAAGTTGGGGACCAAGCCTTTAACACACGGCCATTTGGGGGGCCTTCTAGATCTAAACTACAGTACTTCCCTATCCTCTTTTTCTACCATGGTTATTTCTGTTCCTTTACCTGGACTTCTCTTTTCATTATCACTTAAGTCCTATGTTTTGTCTCTTTTGATCAGCCCAGCCTCACTGAAGCTTTTTCCAATCTCTTGAACTTCTGTTGTCTTATTTAATACCTTAAACTGTATCCATCTTATTATTTTGTGGATGTTAGTTCTAGCTTTCTAAATAATCTTCAAAATTTTTGTGGAAAATATATTTGCCTAGCCTGCATTTACATCTTTCCCTTCAGGCTAGCATGCAAAACTCTAGGCAGAAAGGACTGCCTCTTAGGAGCAGACTGTTTGCATATATGAAGTAGAGAGCAAGGGAGGTCATCTTCAGTGGTTTGTGTGCTGTCAACATAAGGTTCAATCTTACCAGCTGCTCTTTGCTTTCCAGCAGAGACATACAAAACACATGGATTACTTTAATTCTCCATTGACTTTCCTTGTTGATCCATTTAGATTTAATTTTTTTCCTCCTCTCCAAATTGTTTACATGGTTCAAACCATCTGGGGAGCTTTAGAAAATCCTCATATCCAGACTACACCTCAGGCCAATTAAATCAGAATTTCTAGGACTGGGGCCAAGGTACTGGTATCAGCATTTTTTTAAAAAGCTCCCTAGGAGATTTCAATGTACAGCCAAGACTGAGAACCACTGTTTCAGATCAAACTATGTAAAATCTGATTAGAAGAACCCCAGACTGGAAGCCAGTAGTAAATAAATAAACATGCAGGTCTGGAATTTCTTAATGGACACACCATTAAATCCTGTGAACTCCCTTCTGATTGACTGTTCTTTTCCTAACTTGTTTAAGGGACACAATTTCCAGTGAACTTGAAACTACAGTCTGAAAAAAATCATATGCAAAAAATGAGGCTCCTTGCTGCTGCAGGATTCAGGTACTCACTGTTCTTTTTGGATTGTCAATAACCGAATTGGTAGCCATTATTGAGATTTCAAATTGAATGTCATTTCTTTGACCAACTCCAGTAGTCCACCAATGTTAGAAGCGCTACTCATACTTTCTGAAACCTCGTTTTCCTTTATAGAACTCATGTTAGGTAGAAATCTGAGTGATTATTTGCTCCTCAGACTGCCTTCCTCTCCTCCTGCCACTAGATTTTAAGCTCAGTGATAGCAGAGACTGATATATTCATTCTTGAAAAGCTTGCGCCCATCAGAGGGCACATGATAGGAGCTTAGTAAATACCTGGTAAAGGAATGGTGCTTACAGTGCTAGTTCCTGGTGGGTGTTTATTGGGGTGAGAGAATGACAGAATCCTGTGACCCTCTGGGGAACAGTTTCTTAACAGTAAGATAGTGTAGTGGGGGAGGCATCAGTCACCCAGTTTTGATCAGTGACTCTCAAATATGACCTGCTTATTAGAATCACTTGTATGTTTTGTTGAAAGTGCAAATGCCTATGTTCGTGTCCAAGATATTTGGGATCAGAAGCATGATGTCAGTACCACAAATAAGTCTGCTAGTCGATTCTGATGCCCTTGGCTACAGTTCAGTGTTTATAGAGTGCTGCTTTCGGCATTGCCTGAAATGACTTTTAGAAGCACTGTCAAGTTTGGAGCTTGGGGCATCTGTAAATCAATTATTCTTTTTGTTCTGTACTGAAGTGGTGAAGGTGAGGTTGAAAGTTTTCTCTGGAGATGACATATCACTTTACTTGACAACTCTGGAAGGATAATGCCCTCTGTACCATCCTTTCTGTTTAGTAATGTAGCTGGCTAAGCCCATGGGTTCTTAGAAATCACTGTCATAAAGTCCAATGATAGTATAAGAAATGTATCAGTGTAATGCTTTCTCCAAATTTTTGGGAAATGTAATCACGTTGGCCATAGTCCGTGGCAATACTGATCTCAGTGGTGGTACTTACACTGACAAAAATAGGGTCAGAATTGGCCGTATTTTTATATGCATATATCTATTTTCAAAACAACTAACATTGGAAATATACTAAAGAAAGCATTCATTTCAAATCCAAAGCATTTGGATTGATGATGAGAAAGAATATACAGATTAGGGCAGGGGATGTAGCTCAGTGGTTCCGTGGCCTGCCTCGCAAGTGCAAGGACCCGAGTTCAATCTCTGATACCCCCACTCCCCCAAAAAATCAGGGAAGAAAAAATATGCAGATTATAAAACTCTTAGCTATTCAGAATCTCTCTAGCAAACTCAACTAGGCAAATAGAGAAAATAAGGAAAAAAAAAAAAAAAGAAAAAGCCCTCCACATACAAAAAATAGGTATGAAAAATTCATATAGTTAAAAGTGCTCTTTTTAAAAGAGAATCTATTTACTATAACTTTAAACATAATCTAACTGCTTTGGGGAATCATGACTCATATATGACAAACTCAAGACATCAACATCAGAGATGCATAACACTTCTTGAGCTAAAACAGCCCTGTGTTTTAGTATCTCTATTCTTAAATGCAGTAGTTTGATGGTACCATTTACATGTGCTGTATCATTTAATATTTATTAAAGAATGAAAAATCCAAGGAAAATAATGCTCCCATTTTAAATATTAGGAAACTGTGTGCCAGAAATATTAAAGAACTTGATGATGTCACTCTGAGTCCTATGTAATAATCTTTCTATCACGTTCCCTGTAAAATACAGAACAATATCTGATAATTTTAAAGATAATCTGGGATCATCAAGCAGAGTTTAAAGTTTTGCTCTTAGTTTAAAAATTCAATCTACAATCTACTCCATTTTACAAATGTTTCCATGAGCAATAGTTAAATTAAAATACCAATGCCTGAATACCTGAAGGAGTAAATTTCTCTTAAATGGAAAAATCATTTATGTGAACTCTTCATTTAGTAATTCAGATGAAAAAGAATCTTAAGCACCTACAAACCTCACATTTAGTGTAATACAATAATTGTATAATCATTTATTTAATATTTGTATCTATCACAAGATTGTAACTCACCACACCCACACCCACCCACACACACACCCCCACATTTTAAAATGCACTTTCTGTCATTATTTATCTCTTACATTTCTTAAATGAATGCTGAGTGTTATGGGCTATTTATTATTTACATGGTCTATAGACCATTCTTCTGTGCTCAAAAATGGCCCTGGAAAGGAAGGGAAGGAGACAGCAGCAGTCAATTAAAAGTAGAGAGGTATTCTTAGCAGACAGATAGTATCTACCCAAACTGGAAGGGAGCCGAGGCATAGTTATAAACCTCATTACCACAAAAAGTGGTCTAGGGGTCTTGGCTTGTGCTAAAGTTCTTCTTGAAAATATATATGGTGGTACTATTATAAGAGCTTCTGTAAGTTATGCCTTCCACAAATTCTTACCTTGTACTTTTATCAGTTTAGTTCTCCAATCCTAGGATCAGACATTTTCCTGATATGAATCGGCAGAGAAGATCCCATATGTTCTCTGTGCCCATATGTCAAACAAAGGTTAACATAGACACCCACACTGACAGATGTTATCATTCTGCAACTGTTTCATTCATTACCTTATTGATGATATTTTTTGTAGAACTGGGCTAGACATTGTCCTTTGGCTTTCTTGGATTTGGTATTTTTTCCTAGGATATTCTCAGGTATAGAAATTTATGAACAATATACCTCTGCATCCATATCAGTATTAAAGAAGTAGTTTCTCTGGATATTACTGTGCCATGGAATTCTTTATGCTATCTGAAACTACTGCAGAGTTATTTTTCTTCCTCTGTCTTAAAACTAAGAAAATCAATTTTGTTACTACATCAAATTTTTCCTCAATTTCTTATCTGCTAATTTAATTGATTAAGTGGTAATTTTTATACACGGATAGTCCCCAACTTGTGATGTTTCAACTTTTTATTTTTTTTGACTTTAGGGATGGTGTGAAAATGACATGCATCCAGTAGAGCCCATAGTTAGGGACGTGCAGCGTGAAGCTTGGTCACTATGTGGCTCCCAGTTAGCCATGTGATCACTAGAATAAACAACTGATCCTCTGCAGTGAGCCCTGTTGCTAAGTATGATGTCTGGGTATGCTGTTATTAAATGCACTTTTAATTTACAATATGCTCAATTTATGATGTGTTTATGGGGATGTAACCCCAACATAAGTAGAAAGGGATCTCTATATCCACAAATTATTTGGTACCATTTCCTTCAGGAGTGGAGTCTAATTCCTTGCCATTTGAATGTCTGCCAGATGTGAGAATTCAGTTTTAACAAATAAAATAAGGCAAAAAATTGTGATTTGTGACTTCTAAGCCTAAATCATAAAAAAAAAAAATTACCACTTCCATTTGTTCTCTCTTGGATTACCCACTTTGGAGGAAATCAGCTGCTATGTTCTATGGGTACTAAAACAACCTTGGGACACACCTGCAGGGGGAGGAACTGAGACCACCGACCAACATGCTGTGGGGAAGATTCTCTCACAGCCTTGCATCCTCCAGCTTTACCCAAGCCTTCAGGTGGCTGCAGCCAAGCTGATGTCTTGACTATAACCTTGAATGAACCTCAGGCAGAACTACCCAGCTGAGCCACTCCTGAATTCTTGACCCTAGGAAACAGGAAGGGAAAATATACGATTATTGCTTGCTTAACAGCAGTAAGTTTTGGGGGACTTTGTTAAATGACAATAATGTAGTTCTGTTGCTAGGACAAGGTGTTGTCTTAATTCATACCACAAATATTTATTGAGCATCCAATATGTGTCAGGCAATCTCGTAGGTGCTACATATACTAAAATGAACAGAGAAGCATAATTTGTGCTTCCTTACAATCTTGTGATAGATAAAAATATTTTTTAATAAAAATATTAAATAAATAATCATATAACTATTTTATCACAGTAAGTGGGGGGTAATGGGATTGAAGTACTTAGGGTTCTCAACCCAAAGGCCAGAACAGATGTCCCTGAGGAACTGACCTTTGACCTGGAAACTGAGGAGGAAGGGACAGGAATTGAGCAGATGAAGGGTCAGTGGGGACAAGGAAGAGCTTTCCAGGCAGAGAGACCGTGTCTGTGAAGTCCTTGTGCAACATCCCAACTAAGAAATTTCTCTGCTAGAAACTTCTGAGAGATGGTTCATTCATTCACTCAACTTCAAAGAAATATTATTGGAGCACCTGTTACCTGTCACTGTTCTAGGTACTGGGGATAAGGGTTGGTTTTTGTTTTTGTTTTTGGTACCGGGGATCCAACTCAGGTTCTTGCGCTTACGCAGCAAGCGGCGAAACCACTGAGCTAAATCATCAGTCCTGGGGATAAGGGTTGGAAAACCTAACCTGTGAGTGCCAAATGCTGGAGGCTCAGTGTGGAGAGATTTGAGAGTTGAGAACTTTAGAGGAGCCCAATCTTAGGGGAGACCCCACTTTCATGAGCTTTGTCACCATAGAGCCCTATCAGGCTCTCACAGTGAAGATGAGAAAAAAATCCCCCTGAGCTTCTGGCTGGTGAGAGGAAAATAGTTATTTTGGAGCATGTCTGGAGCATTCTGTCCATAACAAGGCCTGCCCTCAAAAGAAATGATTCTACCAGAGCCTGGCCTTCTGTAGCTATCCTAGTCTATCTCAGCCTAAACTACTGTTGACCAACTGACCTTGGGGAAGGGAAATGCCCAGCTTTGGCCTCTACTAGTCTCCCTGTCTTTTAAAAGGAAAAATCAAAGCAAAACTGAGAAGGCTTGTGAGGGCCAAAGCTCAGAGGCAGGTTCCCTGAAAGACTGAGGCCAGTCCTAGGACTGTAGAATACTTCCCTTCTTCCCTTACCTCTCAATTCATCACCATTTCAAAAGGGCCCTTGTATAATAATAGAAAGAACCGTGCATCTTGGAAGACATTTCAGGAACCTCCAGGAAAACCCAGAGACAACAGAGAGACAGAAACAAGGACAGCAGAGGTAAGTCTGACATCTGCCACCTTTACCTGTGGCAAACAAGAAGTGCAGTCTGTCCCCTAGCCAGATAAAAAATCAGGTGTGGTCTACAAGTGTAGTGAATGTTAAAATTTTTTTCAAAAAATTATTACAGTAAAAGACACATTGCCATTAAGCCTCCTCAAAATACTCCCCCTTGCGTCAAACAGACTTATTTCATTGTCTTTGCCACTTTCTAAAGCAGTTCTGAAACTTTTTTCTTTCTTTTTTTTTTTTTTTTTGGTGAGTGTCTTTAGTTGTGCTATTGTGGCTGCTTCAATGGCCTAAATCAATTCAAAACGTGTATCTTTCATAGTTTTTTGTTTGTTTGCTTGTTTTTGAGACTGAGTCTCCCTATGTATTTCAGGCTGGTTTTGAACTCACTATGTAGCCCAGGCTCGCCTCAAACTTGTGGTGATCCTCCTGCTTCAGCCTCCTGAATCTTGGGATTACAGGCATGTGCCACAATGCTTGGCTTTTCATGGTCATTTTGACTCTGGGCAAGGTTCAGAAGACACATGGTGCCAGTTCCACTGCATAAGGTCAAGGAGGACACACTGTAATGTTTTTACAAACCTGCCTTTTCATTGGATGGCACTTGTAGTGCATTCACTGTATTTTTTTTTCGCACTTTGTAAAGTCCTTCACAAAAGAAAACTGGCAGAACTGCTTCAGGGAGGGGCAAGAATTATGGGGTAAGTATATTTAAGTCAAGAGGGAGTATTTTGAGGGGAATTAATGGCAATGTCTTTTACTGAAATAAAATTTTATTTTTATTTAAACACATGGTATGCTTTGATCAGCCTTGTATATAATACGCAGATGATGATTAGACGCTGAGAAGGAAACACTATAGTATCGGGGGAGGGATGGGTTGCAATTTTAAATAGGATGGTCAGGAAAGGTCTTACCAAGCAAATGACATCTGCAAAGAGGTCTGAAGAAGACAAAGGCATGTGCCATGGAGACAACTCGGGGAGAACATAGGGACTTCAAGTCCCGAGAAGGGGGTATGCCTAGTATCTTCAGTGACCCAGAGAAAAGTGGGAACTGCAGCAGATGGGGTGAGGAAGAGAAGTACAGGAAGTGAGGTCCAAGAGGCAAGGGAGGAGGACTGGGCATGATTTTCCATACTATCTTAAAGACCAGGGTCAGTGAAGCCCCTGTGAGAATAGTATGGCAGGGAGCCTAAGAGTCCAGTCAACAGGCTTTGGAAATTAATTCAGGAAAAAGATAATGATTACTTGAATAGAGGAGGAGGAGAAGGAGAAGGTGAGAAGTGATCAGGTGCTGGTTATCTTTCGAAGGTATAGCTGACAGATTTTTCTATGAACTAAGGTGTGAACCAAAGAAAAGGATCAAAGTTGACTCCAAGGCTTTTGATCTAAGCAAAAAGAGGAGACTAAGGTTGAATGAAGGGCAAGTCTTTTGTGAGGGAGCCAAGAGTTTGGTTAGAGGAACCTATAAGGCATTCAAGGGAGAAATAAGAGTAGAATGTTCAGCATCTGGGTCTAGAGATGGGACAGAGCTCAGGATAGCAAACAGGACTTTAGGATTTTGGCAGACAGGAATTTAGAGTTGGTATATAGATAGAATTTTAAGTCGTGAGGGTAAATTAAATCACCAAGGGATATATATATATATATATATATATATATATATATATTGCCCAAGGACTAAATCATGGGCATCAATGGTTAAGAGGTTGATGAAATAAAAGAAAATGAGCAAAGAAGACTGGGAAATAGAAATGGCAAGACAGTACACTGTCCTGGAGGATAATCTAACAGAAGGAGAGAGTGAATGGGGGTAACAAATATTCCTGGAGTCAAATGAGGGGAACTGACCAATGGGTTTAGTAATGTGGACACCATTGGCAGAGAGCATTTTTGGTGCATGGAGAGGCAAAACTTTGTTGGAAAGGGATTTTAGAGAGATTGAGAAAAGAAGTTTTGAAGACAGGAGTATAGGTAACTTTATAGAGGAATTCCTACAAAAAAGAATGGAAATATGAAATTGTAGCCAACAACAATATAGATGAGAGAAAGCACCATGTTTATATGCTGATGGAGTGGTTCAGCCAAGAGGGAGAAATGATGTTGAAGGAGAGGGTAAGGGGGAAAGTTTCTGGGGTACCATTTTTGAATACTTAAAAGAATTAGAAGCTAGTGAACAATTCTAGAGTTTAGACTTAGGAAAATAGAAAGTTCATTCCTGGTAACAGGAGAGAAGACAGCCTACATGGGCCCAGATGCTGGTGGGCGGGTAGAGGTGGTAGTGGGAACTTGTGGAAGCTCTCTTCTGATTGTTTCTATTTTCTCAGAGAAATAGCAATCAAGGTCAAAAGCTGAGAGCGAAGATGGGGGAGGAGGTGTTGGAAGTTTTAAGAGAGAAGAGAAAATATGGAACTGTTGCCTAGGAGAGTAGAATAGTAAATGGACTAGGGAAATGCACTATCATTGCTGGAGAGCATGAAGAGCACACTTGGGTTAAGAGTCTGAGTGGCATGAATTTGAAGGGAGACTGGTCAGCATGGATGAAAGTCTTATTGCTCCATTGAATTTCATGGTTTTGGGCTAAAAGTGATATTTATGTACGTGAGTGTAACATAGTTGTATGTTCACATCTAACAGTTACTAATTATTTAAAATGTTAATTGGTGTAAATTTAACTTCATTTAACATTGTTGGGAGGATGTTTCTGGTTAATTGAATATCTTGGACAACTAAGGCCATTATATCACACATGAATTCATTTTTTAATAGAGTTAGAAGATGAAAAAAGTAATCCGAACATCACATGAGAGTTTTAAAATGACAGTCAATGTTTAAAATATTGAACAGCACCTCAGTTCCATTGTTTTGAAAAGTAATCCTCATCATAGACTGTGCAGGAAAATATGGCTATTTAATTTTTACACTTGTTTGGAATCTGGATGCATTATACAAGGAGCTTTGTAAAAGATATAAAATGACAAGGGATATCATCATTAAATGCAATAAGAGTATCTTCATATAAGTCCATCCATCGTGTCTTAGTTGTATTTATGAAAGCACTGGAGTAATAGTTTTTTCCCCTTCTTAATTGCCCATGAAGCAACAATGATTCCAAACCTTAGTGTTAACACTAGGTTCCAAATGGTAGTGTCAGTGAGGCTATTATTATCTAGATTTGCTCCATCTTTGATTGTTGCAAGACAGACATTTCTCTCCTCACTGCTTGTGTTTTCTAGTAGTTCAAACTTCTTTTATACTTTTGAATCTGCCTTGTGTTATTCACTTATTTTTAAAAATAACTGGTTATATAAGCAATACATAGTCACTCAATATAATTTGGAAGATATGGAAAAGTAGAGCAAAGAAAATACATTTCCTATTATCTCACCATTTAGAAATGAGTGCAATTAAAGTTTTGGTAACTTTTAATCTAATATTTTAATTCACATGTATCTTTAGAGAATGTATATAAAATTTTGCATCAGCTTATCCTTTTAAATATTTTATTGCAACGTTCTCCCATTACACATCTTTGGAAAATACAATTTTTTGTGCATATATGGTAGGCTGGTTTATGAATGTACTATAGAAATTCTAACAATTTTCTCATTATTGCATAGTTAATATGTTTTTAAATTTTAGAAAACACAACAATGGGCACACTTGAACAGAAATTTCTTTTTGTAATACTGATTATTTTCTTAAGGTTTGTGACAGTTAAGCTGGACTATTGACTTTTTTCACTTGAGAGCTGCCAGAAGGTTAGTAAAGCACATTTCTGATTATTTCTGGGTGGGTCATGAAGATGTGACTTTGGGTACTATATTTGGTTTCTGGCCCTTTTCTCTCTGACACTATTCCTTTATTCTGCTTCCCAGCTGCCATGAATTAAGCAGCTGTGCTCCATCACGTCCCTTCACCAAAATGTTTTTGCCTGAAAGTCAACCAGTCATAGGTCAAACCCACTGAAACTGTGAGCCAAAATAAATTTCTTCTTTAAGTTGTGGGTGTCATGTATTTTCTACCAGCAATAGGAAAGCTGACTAATATAGAAAATTGGTAGCAGAGAAGTGGGCTCCCTTCTGTGATAGAACCTGATCATGTGGTTCAGGGGTCTTTGCAATTGGGTCATGGGAGGAGTTTGAAAATATTTGAAGACACAGGCTAGAGAAGCTCTAGAATGTTGTAAACAGTTTGATAAGTGGTTCTGGTCGAAACTTAGAAGAGGAGAATGCTTATAGGAATGTAGACAGTAAAGAGCAAGATCAAGAAGACTCATATGGGAATGAAAACTGTATTGGGAATTGGAATAGAGGCCATTCATGTTATATTCTGGCAAAAAAAAAAATTGTCTACATTTTGCTCATGTCCTGAGACTTTGAAGGAGGTTGAGTTTAAGGGTGGTGGACTAATTGATCCAGCAGAGGAAATTTCGAGGCAGACCAATGTTCTGGCTGTGGCATGAGTACTGCTCACTGCTTTTAATTGGATTTATATTGACAATTGAGTGCAAAAAGCAGAGCAAAAAGATTGAAAAATCTTAAATGTGGTCCCCAAAGAAAATGCATGTAAAGTTGGGGCCAAAGGATATTTGTCTGCTGAACAGATTAGCACCATTAAAAAGAAACTAAGTACAGTAAAACCTTAGATTGCAAGTAATATGTTCTGTGAGTGTTCCACAAGATGAGTAAACGTTTCTAATAAATTTTAACTTGATAAATGAGCAATATCTTGTAATACAGTGACACTGAAAGTAGCATGATCACAACTGGCCCAATAATTTTTTTTTTTTTTTTTTTTTTGTACTGGGGATCGAACTCAGGTCCTTGTGCTTGCAAGGCAAGTGGTGGAACCACTGAGCTAAATCCCCAGCCCTCAATAATTTTTTTTCTCTCTTTCTTGGGGCAGGATTATGGGTGATCATTTTCCAGAAACAAGAGTTTATTGAGATCTCATCTTCAGAGGAGGAGGAACAGAAGGTGGAGAAATACCTCACTTCAAGTGAGATTAGGGAGATGTGTAAAATGTGGTAAATAGTGCAAAATTTTGTAGAAAAGCACCGCCCAAATAAGGCTGTAGCAGTGTGAGTGATGAATCTGCTTAATGACAATGCAATATCACATTTCAGTGAAATCGTCAAAAAAGAGGCAAAAGCAAGTGTCATTGGTTAGATTCCTTATAAAAGTTGCATGAAATGAAAGATTCCATTGAGCCAATAAATAGCAGCAATTCCATTATTGATAGTGAAAGTTGTCCTACGTAATAACCTTCCTCTCTCTTGTCTCCCTCACAACAGCCAGCCATGAAGGTTTTCAAAGCTAAGTGTAGGTTAATTTGTTTATTTTTCTTTATAATTTTTGTATTATGTTACAGTATTGTAATCATTTTTATATGGATATTTTTGGGTTGTGGAACATTTCATCATTATTTCTTATGGGAAAATTTGCAGTGATAGACAAGTGCTTTGGATTACAAGCATTCTTCTGGAATAAATTATGCCCACAAACCAAAGTTTTAGTGTACTTTGAACTGGGAAAAAAGAAAGAGCCATCTCAAGGCATCTCAGGAGTGAGCAAGACACCACCCATTGCAAGCTGGCATGTACAAAAGTATAATCCTTTCATCTGAGAAGAAATGAGTCTTTTGCTTGAGAAGGATCATCTAGAGGATCTGCTCCTTAGGACTCATTTCACCATGCACAGCCATGTAGGCACTCAGAAGCCACTGAAACCATGGTGCAAGGGGTCTTGGCTACTGCTCAAGCTGGTGCTAGATCTTGGTATCATCCACGTGATGCTGGTTTTCCTGGCATTCAGAATGTAAGAGTTAGGGGTCATTCAGGCTTCCATCCAGATTTCAAAGGAAGGCCTGGAAAGCCAGACTAAAAATGTGCAACAGGATCAAAGTCCCTTCCAAAAGTACCTGAGGGGGTAGGATGTGAAGTTGTCAGAGTGAATCCAAAAGTATATTAGAGACCCCAGGACATCAAAGATGCCTGGGATGTGAATCTACAGAAGAAAGCTTCAGGTGAATGAAGCCAGCCCAAGAGAGAGGACATGTATTTCCATCACAATAAACACAATAAAAGCAAGCAAACAAAAACCAGTCTCTCTGGGTTTTCTACACTCACCCCAATCTCTCTTTTTGGGGGGCGGTACCGGGGATTGAACTCGGGTCCTTGGGCAGGCGGTGGAACCACTGAGCTAAATCCCTGGCCCCACACCCCAATCTCTTTACCATCTCTCTGAAAAAGTATATTTTATCAGTTGTCTTCATTTTGTTTTCATCTACCCTCTGGCCACTTTTAGTCTGGTATTTACTTCTACCATTCTCTTGAAACACTGTCTTACTCACAACCCACCTGCTTTTAGCTTCTGCTACCATCCCCCAACTCTCATTTTTTCCTGCCCATCTCTCTTTTCCTCTGTATTATTTAACTGTTCAGTGACTGGCTTTGCATCAAAAAACAAGAATGAATCGGATTCTTCTTGCTTTTATTAAGGAATTTAAAATCAAGTCAGGCACAAGTACTTTGCAGAGATTTGTCACCTTTGGTTTTGTTGCTACAAAGCCCGGGGCTCCTTCGTGCTAATGAAATTCAAGTTTCTGACCCTTCCCCCACACATTTCCTCTCTTCCTTATTGGCTCCTCTTAGATTTTCCATCCCCTAAACTCCACACATGACATTGCCCAGGGTCTCTTCTCCCTAAGCTGCTCACTCAGAGAAATTCTGCACATCGAAGGGGGTGAATGGCAAAGGTGCACCTTGGGGCCCGATCTCAGGATCCCTCTGCAGACAGGTGTTTATTATGTGCAGCTGAACAGAGCCAGAAAGATGTCCTTTTCTAACCTCGCCTTCACCTGTTGATGAAGTCACCCCTCTCAGTAAAGCTTCAGACCCCTGAGCATCCCACCAGCTAGCTGCCCCGTTGGAGTGGTTCTTTTCCTGGCCCTGTCTCTTTCAGCTTCTCTTTTTCTTGCTCACCCCGTCACTCTGACTTAAACTCTTATATGATTAAGAACGTTTTTCTTTGCTCTCTTCATTCCTAGAATATGGACCTCTCCCCTAGACAATCATAACATCCTGGAAATTTGTCTCTGTGTTCCAGACTATTTTTACACCCCGGAATAATCTTTCAAAGTAACACATCTCTTTTTGTCGTTTCCTTGCTTCAAGTTTGTCACTGTCTCTTGTCAGCTGGGTTAAGTTTGAATTCTTACCCAGAATTTAGTTCCTCTATGATGTAGAGCACTTTGTTTCTAGCTTTATCTCCAAGTAGATCTTTATGAATATCTGCTATACTACAGCATACACATGTCATTCTTCAGATACCAGATATATTGTCTAATTGTTTTGACTGTACTTTTGTAACTAGACTATACTATTTCATAAAATAGAATGTACCTATTGCTTTTTGTTGAAATCTTAGCCATCTTTGAAAGGCCCCAAAGATTTTATTCACGAAGACATCAGGTCTTACTGATTATTTTCCCCTGTTTTGATTTCTTAGAGCACTTTGTTTTAACTGCTTGCATGTGCGTTATTTTACTTTTACCTATATGAAAGTTATTTTATGTTTCTCTTTTCCATTAGTTAAACTTGAGTCTCTGTAGAGATAGCATCTTTTTGTACTCATAATGTGGATTTAATAGTGCTTATTGTATTTTCTATATAGAGGGACCCAGTATCTATGCTCTTTTTATTTTTAGTAACAGAACTCCTGTGTTTTGGGGGAAATGATAATGTGCACAGCTAAGAATATTTACTCTTCCAGTTCCCTTACAGTTAGGTGGCCAATTGAGTCAGCTTTACACAAGGAGATGGAAGTTGAGGGTTTCTGGCCCCTAAGCTAGAGGCACCACAGTTTTTTCTGCTTAAGTGATTTTTGATATATATACAAACTGTGAAATAGTTAAATCAAGTTAACTAACATACATATCACCTCAAAGATGTGATTTTCTGTGATTGGAACACTTAAAATCCACTCTCAGTAATTTCCAAGTTTACAATATACTGTTATTAACTACAATCATCAGGCTACAGAATATATCTCCAGAACTTATTCCTCTTGTCTAAAACTTTGACTATTTCCTTAACCCACCCTCTCAGACTCCTAGGTCTTAGTAACCATCATCCTACTTCCTGGTTCCTGGATTCCTTATATAAGTGAGTTAAATGTTATTTATCTTTCTGGGTTTGCTCATTTCACTTAGTTTAATGTCCTTCTGGTACAATTGGTGAATGACAGGGTTTTTTTCTTTTCTAGGGCTGAATAGTATTCCATCAGGTATATTTCCTATATTTTCTTTATCCATTTGTACATTGTTGAACACTTAGATTAATTCCTTATCTGGCTACTGTGAATAATGCTGTAATGAATATGCAAATGCAGGTATCTCTTCAAGATTCAGATTTCATTTCCTTTAAATATATATCCAGAAGGGCTGGGGATTTAGCTCAGTGGTTCTGCTGCCTGCCTCACAAGCTCAAAGACCAAAGTTCGATCCCCAGTACCAAAATAAATAAATAAATAAATAAATAAATACCAAGAAATGGGATTGCTGGATGGTATGGTAGTTCTATTTTTAGTTTTTTAATGGAAACTCCATGCTTTTTCCCCTCATAATGACTAGCATTGTGTAAGGTTTCCTTTTCTCCACATCCTCACCAGCACATAGTATCTTCTGCCTTTTTGGCAGTCGCGATTATAACAGGTGTCTTAATAACTTTTTCATTGCTAGGACAAAATACCTGATACCTACACATTAAAGGAGGAAAGCTTTATTTTAGCTTACAGTTTGTAGAGGTTTTAGTCCATAGTCAGCCGGCTCCAAGGCAGAATGATATGTTAGAGGGACATCACAGAGGAGAAAAAGTCCATGGCAGGGCAGGCAGGAGGCAACAGCAGTAGCAAGCAGCAAACAGCAAGGCTTCCTTCCTTCCTTCTTTTCCCCTTATATTTCATCCAGGTTACAAACCTATTGATTGGTGCCACCCACACCTAGTATGGGACTTCCCATTACCTATACTCAGAACAATGCCAAACCAATCATGGACTAATCTAATTATCACACCCTTAATCCACATTCACACACCCTAGATCCAGCCAGCTCTGAAAAGCCCTATCTATGTGTTGATGGGGGGACATCTAAATACAAGCCATAACAGCAGATATGAGTGGCATTTTATTTTTGTTTTAATTTGCTTTTCCCTGCTGATTAATGATGTGGAGTATTTTTTTCATATGTTTGTTGGTCACCTGTAGGCCTTCTTTTGAAAAATGTCTGTTAGGTTCTTTGTCAATGTTTAAATCAGATTGTTTTCTTGGGATTGAACTGTCTATTTTTTTTTTTTGGTAATGGGGATCGAACTTGGGTCCTTGCGCTTGCGCAGCAGGTGGCGAAACCACTGAGCTAAATCCCTGGCCTGATTACTTGGAATTGAGTTGTGTTCTTTATATGTTTTAGATATTAATCCCATATCAGATATTGTTTGCAAATGTTTTTTCATTTCTGTAGATTGTCTCATAACTCTTGGTTGTTTCCTTTGATATTCAGAAGCCTTTTGAATTTGATGTAATCCTATTTGTCTTTTTTGCTTTTCTTAATTGTGCTTTTAAGCCCCATAATGTATCAAGTTTGTTATCATTTAGTTCAAAACAGTTTTAATTTCCATTGTGATTTCTTCTTTGAACCACGAGTTATTTAAAAATACATTGTTTTATTTACAACTCTTTTGGGATAGTCTTCTCTTTATTGATTTCTAGGTTAATTCCGCTGTGATCAAAGAATTTACTCTATATGATTGTACCTTTTGAAATGTGTTGGAACTTTAAGGTCCAGGATAAAATATATTTTAGTAAATGTTTCATGTACATTGTAAAGAATGTAAGTTCCAAAATTGTTAGATATAGTCTTATAAATGCACAAATTATGTCAAACTTTCAATATTGTTAACATCTTTGGCATCTCAAATGACTTTGTCTCCCTATTCTATTGACTACTGAAAGGGCTATATTAAAGTTTTTATTTTTATAAATTTTTGTATACATTGTTAGATACACAGAAAGTTATGCCTATTTTCTGTGGAAATCCCTATTGCATTGTTATAAAATTTTCTCTATTGCTAGTTATATTTCTTGCCTTAGAGACTTCTGAATCTGATGTTGTTATAATTGCATCAAATTTTTACGGTAAGTCGGCGTCATTTTCCATCTGTTACGTTCAGCCTTTCTGAGTCTTTAAATTTAAGTTTTCTCTTGTCAGACTCAGGCTTGAATTCCAGTTCTGCTGCCCTTTGTCAGCTAACTTCCAGGTTTCTTGACTATAACATAGAGGTGGTTATAGATATGTATAATTTAGTACAGATTACTTAAAAATTTGCTATTAACTATTGTTAATAGATACACAATCTATTTTTTAAGACATCACTTTAGTATTCTCATATTTATTCCACTTAAATACTATTTCAGTCCCTATTATACGGTAATGCCATTTTATACCATGATAAGGGAAAAACACCTCTCCTTGTGTTTGAGTTTTGATTTATTGTTATTATTATTAGTTTTATGGTAATTGGGATTGAACCCAGAACCTTCCTGCTGAGCTGTGTACCCAGCGTTTTTTTTTTTTTTTGAGAAAAGGTTTCACCAAGTTGCTGTTGTCCAGACTGCACTTAAACTTATGATCCCTCTGCTTCAGCCTGCAGGAGTTGTGGGATTATAGCCATGTGCCATCATGCCTGGCTTTCGGTCTTTCATTATGAAGCTAAGTCTAGGAAAAATATTCATGTAGTTTTATACAGTACGTCCTTTTCTGTAACAGTACTTCAGGAAGGAAAATTAAGAAAGTTCTAATATCTGACTTCTATGAGTTTTAGGGGGTAGTCTAAAAATTTTCTCAGTATGAATACAAAAGGAAACAAAAAAGAAAAAGAAAAACCCCAAACCAGTGATAATCTATGTATAAGCAGAAAAGAAGTGATTCATTATTATTATTTACTTCAGTTTAAGAATTTATTCATACTCTTATCCAGACTCTATCCATACAGTCATTTATTAATTTAATGTATTTGAAGTTTTATCAGGTAATTGGCACTGAAAGAACAAAAAAGAAAACAAAAAAGTGTCTCCTTCTGGGAAAGAAGTAGGGAAGTCTACTAAGGAAGAAAGGTAATGAGAAACCGCTTATATTTTTTGATATATGCAACTTATGGCAGTATATGCAGGGCGCTATGAAAGTGTACAGGAGAAAAGTCAAACCTCCATCTGGAATGCTGTCTAATTTTGTGTGCCTATCTTGTGGGTGACTTGGATTTCTTAGATGAATGGGTATTTGAATTAAGGTTGTTAGAATGACCTGTCAATGGGGAGGTGAAGCAAATAGGCTATCTACAGGAAAAGAGGGTGCCCTAAGTATTTTAAGCAGAAAAAAGATGAGTATAGGGATTTAGGTGCTTATGCAATTGTTGGAAAGGCTAGAAGAATGGGCTGAGCCTAAGCCTCTGGGAGTGAGTCACAGGATTCCACCCATTATGGGAGCGACCATTCTGTAATATTTGGGAGGTGGAAATCAAAACGTTCACTGGGCCTATTAACTTCAAAAACAATACTGGGATTTGGACCCAGGGGTCAGGAACCTGGGATTAGAAAGCTTCTGCTGTGTCTAGCACTCTGCCACTCAACACTCATGAAACTGGAAAGTATGCTGGAATGCAGAACTTCCGTATCTGCACAGTGTTCTTCACTTGCAGGAAGGTAGCAGTCAAAGGCAGTTGGAAGATGGTGCCCCCCTCACTTTCATCTGCTCTTTGAATGATCGCACCTGACGGATGAAGTCTCACATGACACCCAGAAACCTACCTGGCAGAGAGTCTGGGAAATGGGATTTCCACTATCCAGTTTTTGCTTAACGAAAGTAGGTACATTCGGAGGAGGTGGTAATGGATGCAGAGCTCAGGCCAATCTCAAAACACACCTGGTGAAGATAAGCTTGGAGTAGGAAGGGTGGTGGAGAGGATCGGGTGCGAAAGACACAATAATAGAGAGGTCTGGAAGAATTACTGGGATGGCTGGATAGGGAAAACTACGGAAGAGGGGGAACAATCCTCTAGGTAATGAGCATGGACTGTGAACGTTGGCAGGGAGTAGGAATGTCTTAAGGCAAGACACACCAATGTGGAGGTTATTGCATTAATTAAAGTGAGTCCCATCGGTGGCTTGGAGACAATAGTGATAGAAATGGAGAGATGATTTGGAGAGCTAATTAAAATACTGCAATCATTTTAATGTTGTCCTTTTCTTTTTTCATGGTGGTTCTTCTTTCTGGGGTAACCCTGTATTCTAGTTCTTTGCTTGTTTCACTGTAAGGCCTATAGGGTATTACAGGGCTCATCACCCTCCTCTCCCTGCCCACCGTCTGTAGTAGTTGTGGTCAGGGCGGCTCCTGTCCTCAGGTAGTTCATGTGACTATTGCCTTCTCAGTTAGAAAGGGATCTTAAAGAGCAGGAATCATGTTTTATGTGTATTTGATGCACATTTGAACATTCCAATGAAGGCACATGGAGTTAATAATACATTTGTTGCAGAGACTCCATATCAAAATGTCATTTCCAATGTTACGTCTAAGCCAGTTGCATGACTCTTACAACTCCTATGTGGAGGGTCTGAAAAATGGAGTGGAGGAAGGATTTTAAAGAGGATTTATCGGCAAGGAGCCGTGCTGTGAGTCTATCTTTCTCCATGGGGAGAGGATGATGAACGCAATCCTAAGCCTAGCACAAGGGACTTACAGACAACACTCACTGAATTTGTTATGAAATTAGCATATCGAGGAGACCAGTGTTTGGCTCTTGTCTGAGGAATCAAACAAGCATGAGATCTGCTGCCTTGCTTTAGGTGGATGGACTGCAGGAGGATGCATGACTCATCATCAAGGGAATTTCAGATGAGAAGTCTTCTAATGGAGCTCTTTCTAAGAATCCACAAAATAGGTCTTGAGAGTGTCATAAGAGAGTATGGGACTGTTTTGTGACAGAACTACATAGCCAACGATTTTCCTGCCCTGTCCCAACTGTCTCCTCAACACTCATTGACTTTGGAGAAAAGCATCAGAACCAGTTTAGAAAGATGGAGAAGGGGCAGTCCAAGGAAGAAGGACTCCTCCACCCGCTCTTCACCACTTGTCTGTGTTCTTACTGTTAAACTCAACTAAATTTGCCTTGAGAATGCTTTGTACATGAATCCTCACATAATTAACTGCAAGCTAAGTTAGTACTTTCACTAAGGGATAGTCTAATCTAGGAGTATACTTTTATAACAAATAGCTGAGTCCTCACCAATTATAGCGGCTGAGCTCCAGTTAATCACAAGAGACCAAGTGTTCAAACATTTTCAAATATGGCAAACTTGGAGCTGCAACCATGCTCGCTATTATCTCAGTGCCACATTTCCGTTTTCTGACCACATATGCTGTCTGACCGTGCAGCAAACTGGGGACCTTTAACTTGATCTGCTTTGGATGGCTGCCTGATTCTAGGATCATGAATAAAAGCTGATAAAGCTCTTTAAGCCAAATTTGTTCTAATTTTGTCTTTTAACATTACCTATCAAAAGTCTTACAGGGGAGGGAAGGGAGACGATTTCATTTCAAATCAGATTTGAAGTTTTGAGTATTGCTTGTCATTGGATACTCTTTTGAATTTGAGACTATGTTCACAATTTGAGAAAAGTGTGGACTTCTTATTACCTTAGTGATCAGAACCATCACGAGTCTTCATTCAAATTAGTGAAGAAAGTTCTTTGTTGACTATCCTTACAGGAAGGGAGGGAGACAATACAAATTTGCCTGGTGATTATGCTTCTTTAATCCTGTTTGGGTACATGATGGTTAAACTTTTTTTATCCCCAGAGGGGCAGCTGGAGGACTTCTGAACAGAAGTGGAAAAGGAAACACAGTTCGGTATAAAGAGACTTCTGTTACACTCTGGCTATGTGACCTTGTGAAACACACATAATTCCTACAAATCATGGTTTCCTAGTCTGCAAAATACAGTAAATACAAAATGTCCACCTTTTTTATTTCACATTTTTTGGGGGGTGGCGGGGGAGGTTCAAATGTAACCGCACACTAGAAAAGTTTTCTAAGCTCCAGTGGGTTCTCAAAATGCTTTATGTGCCTTGACTAGACGGTATTTTGAAAGCTCATAAATTTTTTCCCTTCTTGCTCATGGACTCAGCCATCCTAAACCCAGAGCCTTATTTGACCAACTAAAGAATAAAATAATTAAAACTACTCTGGAGGAGAATATTATGCAGAATCCCGAAATGGCCCATTCCTGTCCGTAACACTGCTAAGTTAATCTGTTTTCCTCAGGATTTGTAATGTAACACTTGAGAAAGCCATTGATGACTTAGTACTAATGAAAGCTTTTTGTAAGCATCATTTTTTTCAGCACTCTCTCCAATATCTGTGTTAAGTTACGGGCCAATTACCTGGAAACCGAAATGAGCCTGGAGGAAGCGGGAAATTCCTAAGAAAATCATTTACAAAGAGAGGTAATATTAACAAAAAAGGTTGATTGAAAGAAAAAAGTCTTCATCTCATGAAAGAGCTGGAGGGTACAAAAGAGTGAGAGGAGACTGGTGTGCAGCTTGTTTTTGTCAACAGCAAGGAAAATAGTACGACTGTCTCACGGAGAACACCTGTTAGGGGTATGGATGAGCTCTCCTGACAAAAGCCTCTGACTGAAAATCGTTCCAGCAGTGCTTGAATGAGGCAATATTCCACTGCCTTGCCCAGAAGACCCAAAGCAGAGGCGTTTGTGAGGAAAATGGACCATGAAATCAAGGAGATGCTCGAATTTCCAGGAGGAACTTCTGTCTTCTTTTGATCCCTGACCTGAATTCTTGAGATGATTATCTACAGGGAAGCTCTGTTGACCAAGTACCAAATATTTACCAGGTCATAAATATGTTCAGGAAGACCATTGCCTTCCAAGAAGGTTAAATATAGAGCAAAATAAAATCTCCATTTTTGGGGAAAATTACAAACATATACATGTTCTTTTTAATTAGTTAAAGCCTAATGTTGTTTTTCTAATTTATAGGTTTATAGAATGTTGTAGGTATCCTGCACTGTTATAAATTGAATAAGCGCTACCTAAAATTTTTTTTTAATTTAAACTTGGAAAAGTATTTTTAGAAGAAAGGGAACTTCTTATATATGAAATTTGGCTATTATGAGTATATTTGCACAGACTTCTTTATTTAAAAGGATTTGCTTCTGTCTTAAAAATGTATTTTCTTTTGAAATCAATACTCATTATTATTTTGGCCAGTATGTGCTGTTATTCAGCACAACCTTCAGGACAATAGGTAATGAAATGCTAGAGAAATGATACAATTAGTGGAGAGGCCATCTGTGAAAGTGCAATCTTGTATTATAGGACATTTCCTACTCCACTTTTGCACATAGTGCCATGGGTCTTCTTAGTAAGATATGTTCCTTATTGTCCTTGGGAATAAGAGTAGATCAGAATTTGCGATTATGTAACCATTATCCATTATTAGATAGTAGCTTTCCCACACTTGAACTCTGTCTCCGTGGTCCTTACTGCACAGCTAACAGGCCAGTCTGTGATGCTGGAGTTTTCCCTAGTACAATCCACAGCTCACCACTGAGAATTGCTTGGAGTGCCACTTAAAAATGCAGGGTTGTGGGCCTACTCTGGATCTATTAACTCACAGGCTTTATCAAAACTGTCCATCAGTTTCTTCACTTCTTACAACAGCAGTTTTCAAAGCTGCTTTGTATCTTGAAACCATCTGTGGGAGCTTTAAAACATGGTGAAGTCTGGGGCCAACTACAGAGACTCTGCGTGGATCAGTCTGTGAAGTGGCTTAGACATCAGCATCTTTGAAAACTCCCTGGGTGATTTTTATATGTATCCTAAGTGATCCTCTGTGGATGCAGAGTTGAGAACCACTGCTGTAGGACTCCTTACACAATAGGAGGGGAGTCTGACTATTCTGATACCAACTTCACCCTTACCCATGGCAAAGACCTCCTGAAAGAACTAGTTCAGGAATATGTTGACATGCAAATACTGTAGGAAGTGCTTCATGTCTCACCTTAGTAAAAGGAGATCTGTTTCTATCTTCCAAAGATGTTTTTCTAGTACTGAAGATCTTTGCCCTCATGGCTTATCCAACCTCACCCCCCATTTAAGTTGCGCCAGTGATATTAGGAGTAAGTCTAGGACAATGGCGGCCAGTCTTCATAACCTCTGGACTGCAGTCATACTTTAGATGATATATTAAGCACAAAATGTAAAGAAATAAGTAGGTGCCCTTTGATATTGCTGATAAAAATTCTCAACTCTTTTGACTTTTATTTCTTTGATTCTTTCCCTCAAAAGTTCAAGAAGATAAATCCATGATTCTCCCTCTTAGCTTCTTGTACTTTCCTATTTTCCAGACTTAGGCATTTCCATTTTTGAACTGCCTTTCTTCTCATTTCTTCTCCTCCTGGCAAAGTTTTATTCATTCTTAGAGTTTGATTCACTTATTGCTCCACCGTATAACTTCCCTGAACAGCCCATTTTCTAAATAGAACGAATGGGTTGCTTTTACACACGTAGACATCATCTTGAACCTATTTTATTTATTTATTTATTTATTTATTTATTTATGTCCATTGAGGCATTTTATTTGTATGGATTACAACCCTAGAAAAAGAATCCCAGGATTTTCCCTCCTGTGTGTTTTCATCTTGCTTCTTCGTGATCCATGATGCCAGCTGAGGTTGTCAATACAATGAAACCAAACTGATGGGATGGAAGGAGATTATTCTGCCATTTTTCCAGGTCTTTCAGTTGCACGTCAAACCTGGGGCTGATCACTCCACACTTGTTTAACCTGCCTGTGAGGTTCACAAAAATTTTTCCAGCCCTGTGATCATCAGTGATTTCAAATTCGCCAATGTAACCATGATTCATCATCACAGTTAGAAACCGGACAATGACTTTGGAGCACGGCCTAATAAGGACCTGGCGTTTGCCTCTCTTTTCGGCACTGTTGATACTCTTGAGAGCATCAGCCAGGACGTTCATGCGCACCATTATGGCGGCATGGAAAGATGGCGGAAAGAGGACCTTGAACCTATTTTAATGGCAGCTTCTATCCAGTCGCATTACAGCTAGTTGCTTTTACAACTGTGTTCTCTTCTAGATCAATTCTACAAACTTTTAATGATTGGCCATGAGTGCCAGGCCTGGGAACAAGCAACACAAAAATGAATCATATTCTCTCTGTCCTCTTTACCCTCTAGGAGCTCTCACTGCAGTAGGATAAAGATGAACAAATCATTACAATATACCTGAGTAAAAGTTATAGAATATAGAGACACAGTGTTAAGGGAAGTTCTAAGTGCCTGTAGGTATTGCAGAAAGCTTATAGAAACTGAGAATTAAAGGATAAATAAATAGCTTAAGAGTTTTAAACTCAGTAGATGGGGAATCACAGGAAGGTATTCTAATCTGGGGAAAACATGTACAAAGGCTCCTAGATACTGGGATCATTTTCAATTTTTAAGGGAAGCTAGACTATTTGAGGAAATACTGAACCTTTGTCAAAATACTGTCAGAAAAATCTTGGTATGTGAATACATTTGTAAATAACAGTCTGCCTGGAATCAGTTGTTGGTTTCCTATGGAATTGTTATTGAGCTATTATAAGCTCTGTAAAACTTCTTAATTTTGGGCTACTCCAAAAGTCTAGACATATTCCTATGATTATTTCAAGGTACAAACTTCCAGGTGCAGAGGAAAACATACTAGGTTTTGAGTCCACTCACTTGGATTTGGATCTCGGCTCTATTACTTATTAACTCAGTGGTTAGGTTACTTGTTTTCTGAGCTTCAGTATGTGTGTCTGTGTGTCTGTGTTTTGGTGAAATGAGAATAAAAATAGATAATGCACATAAAAGCATTTTGTATAATTCCTAGCACTTAAAAAACATTCAGTGAAGTTTGCGTTCCTGTTCACCTCCAAACATTAAAAATAAACAAAACAGGGGCCAGGGATTTAGCTCAGTGGTTTCGCCGCTTGCTGCACAAGCCCAAGGACCCGAGTTCGATCCCCAGCACCAAAAAAATTAATAATAATAATAAAAAAAAATAAACAAAACAAAAACCTAAACAACCAGATTGATTCAGAGTTAGTACATGCCAGAAGGAATTTTAGAGCTGATATCAGCTGCTTGTTCCTCCCTTGATCTGGTGAATAGGGTGGTTCTATAAGTTTCTGAGTTTGTCCAAGCAGCTGAAGAGCTACTTTTCAACCCTAATTCTCTCTCCCAGTTTAGATTCCAACCATCTGGGTTCAGTGCAACCATTGTCAAGGTGAGCAGAGCTCACCATTTTCCTCCTTCTGTGCCAACCTCCTGAGTCTGGCTGCTGAGGAGCGCTCATGATTTCTCTCACACAAGGCCATCAAGAGAAGAGAAGGAGCTGGTTTCATCTGCAGGTCAGTAAATAACTGAGCAGAGAGCAAGGACGTGTAAAATGAAAGAGGAAGGGCTCTCTGATTCGTGTCTGGCTCTCCCAAACCCTGAGCAATCTGTTCCTGTTTAAAATAAAAAGCAAAACATGTTTCCTCAAACTGGTTTAAGAGGATAGTGATGACTAAGGGAGTATATTTATTTCAGCTGTCACAGGAGTCCTGGACTTTTGAAAAACAATTCTTCTGTATTTTTGAAAATACTGTGGTTCTCTTCCTAGAGTCTCTTGAAAAGAAATTCTCTTTTGGATATTAAGTGTGTTAATTCTGAAAACTTTTCTTGTTAAAAAACATTAGAAAGGTTTGTTGAGAAGAACATAGATCTAAAGATGGTTGAATAGGGTTAGACAAGTTAGTAAAGGGACAAATGGAAATTATGTTCATTCATTTGATAAATAATTAAGCACCTATTTTATAGCAGAGGTGATAGATTGAATTATGGGTTATGAAGGTCGAAGGCGATGAACCTGATATGGTGTCATTGTGTGTGTGCGCATGCGCGTGTGTGGTGTGTGTGTCTGTGTGAGGATTGAATCCACAGGTGCTCTACCTATGAGCTACACCCCCAGCTTTATTATCTATTTATTTGTTTATTTATATTTGGAGATTGGGTCTCACTAAGTTGCCTAGGTTGGCCTTGAACTTGCCATCCTCTTGATCCTTCTCTCTGAGGCTCCTGAGTAGCTAGGATTACATCCCTGTGACACTACACCGGTTACATCTCATGTTTCTTAACAGCCCACGGGGCTGCCCACAAGTCAACACATTGTTATAGTACAGTGTGACAGAGGCTGTAATAGTAGAAGGCCAAGATGGTATAGGAGAAGACCAGGAGACCTGAATCACGAGCAGAATTTGGCCAGTTGAAGAGAGCTGTGGATGGTAACAAAGTTCTAGGCTGCAGGAACAGTGTTGTGTATCTTAAGGTTTAGGAATGAGTGGGGTGGATTTGAGAAAGTAAACTCACTTTAAGGTAAAAGGATGACTGGCTAGTAGAATACTTGTGATTTTTCTTTCAGCAGTTTGAGGCTGGTAAGGTGTGTAGCATGGTAATCTGTTTTCAATTTTGCTACTGTTTCGTGTATAAATGGCTTCCAGAGGAAACTCAAGGCATACTTGCTGGAGATGGATTTAGGTAGTCTTGGGCCTATTACTTAGATATCCTAACTCCCTATCAAGTGTCAGCTTCTGGGATCTTGGCATCCTTGGCAGGTGGGATTCTTCTTTGATGTATCAACTAATAAATAGAAGATGACAGGGACTCTTTGGAGAGTCCTAAGTTGGTGGCCTTCTGAGCTCTTAGCCATTAATTGATAATTATCAATTTTCTTGTCTTTTTTTTTCAAGTTGAGAGATGAGACAACAAGAAAATACACAAGGTATAGATTTCGAATGATGCACTAATAGAAATGTTGATCAGAACCACTAAAGATGAGGCCTGTTATAGTTTGGGTCTGGAATGTCCCCCAAAAGCTATGTTTTGAAAGCTTTGTGCCTGGCGGGTGGCACTATTGGATGATGATGGAAATGTCAGGCTACGGGGACAGTTGGAAGGAGCTGTAGGTCACTGGGAGCGTGTCCTTGAAGGGTAGCCTGGGAGCTCATCTCTTCCTCTCTTCTTCACTCTCTTTGCTTCCTGGCCTCCATGCCATGAGCAGCCTCCTCCACCACACACTCCTGCTGTTATGATGATCTGCTCACCATAGGCCTAAAAGCCATGAAGCCAGCCAACCATGGACTGTAACTTCTGATCTTAAGTCAAAATAAATCTTTTCTCTTTTTAAGTGGTTCATCTCAGGTATTTTGTCACATCAATGGAAAATTGATACAGGGCTTTTTTTTTTTTCCTGTAGAGGGAATTGAACACAGGCTTTTGCACTTAGCTGCCTCCTCAACCCTTTTAATTTTTATTATTACTTTTTATTTTGAGACAAGGTCTTGCTAAATTGCCCAGGCTGGGTTCAAACTTGTAATCTTTCTACCTCAGCCTCCCAGAGTGCTGAGATTATCGGTGTGTGCCACCATGCTAGGCTCACAGGGCCATTTTAATGCTTGCCACCTTAAAAAGTATATCCATGTGTTTGTCTTCACTGAACATGTAGCTCCGAGATAAGCATGGTGGTACTCTCCTGCAGTACCAGAGATAGATTAATCTCAGATATACTGATGTCAGTATCCTAGAAAGGATTATGAATATTCATCTTAAAATATCATGGAATAAGAGAATTAAACAGGACTTCAGAGATTATTGGGCCCCAGACCTTTATTTTACAGATGAGTCATCTTTGCTACAGAAATGTGGAGTGGCATGTCTGTTCTAGTTCCTGTCTCAGAATTTTCCACAACTGCTTCTCCTGATGTCTCCTCTGTCAGGTATCTTCTCCTCACTTTCACTTTGCTCGTCGTCACATCATTTAGGACTCTGGTTAATATTTAATAAGGTCTCTGGTTAACATAGCTGCTAACCAATATTTCTTAATACCTTACCTGTTTTACTTTCTGTATTGTACACACATTTTCTAAAATTCTTGTTTTCTTCTTTATTATCTTCTTGCCTAGAACATAAGCAAGAAAAGATCTTAATCATTACTGTATCCCTAGCATTTTTTTGTTTTTTGAGACAAGGTCTCACTATGCAGTTCAGGCTGGCCTTGAACTCACTGTATAGCTGAGGTTGGCCTCAAACTCATAGTGATCCTCCTGCCTCAGTCTCCTGAGTGCTGGCATTACAGGAGTGTGCCACCATGCTTGGCTTCCCAGCATTTAAAACAGTACCCAGAACATAAAAAGCACTCAGTCAATGTATTTTTTTAAAAAATTACAAATGGATGGAAAATAGAACATGCAAAGGCACTGATCTTTCTACTACCCCAGTGCTTCTCAAAGTTTAATGTGCATGTGAATCACCGGGAGATCTTGGTAGAATGCACATTTTGATTGAGAATGGGTTGGTTTCTCAGATGCTGCACTCCTGACAAGCTCTCAGGTGATGCCAAGGGCTCTGCTCCACACCCTTGATGAGCCTTTCTGCAGCTGTGCTCTGGAAGTAAGGAAGAAGTGAGGTCGGCCAGACACATTTTTATCCTTTACTTAAACACGTATAGTTGAGTCTTGATATTTTCTTTGTTAAATAAGGAGTGGAGTGTTAAGCTGCATTTTGTTCAACATTTTATTATAACAATTTTCAAACACAAGGGAAGATTTTAAGAGTGAGCCTGCTACCTAGTCATCGCTGTTCACATTGTGCTGTGCTTGTTTATCACATGTCCATCCAAGACTCATCTTTTTCTCCAGTCTGCAATTATATTTTGATGTATTTCACCTTGGGTTGCACACAACAGCGCTCTCCTTCCAAATAGTGACTCTTCCTGGGTGGTGACCAAAACACGGAGACTATTCAGGACGCTTCTCCATGAGGCCAGCCCTATCTGCCGCTTCTCCTACCCGCACTCTTGATCTCCGCCTTTTCCTCCAAGAGCACACTGTGAAGTCAGTAGGCATGTTAGACATATTTTATATCTTTTTTAAGGCATCCAACTATGATTTTAAACCCAAACAAAGTTTCTCTTTTAGAATGTCTCAAATTGTTTTGCAAAGGCTAGGATAGAGGAAAAGAATAGTAATTTGTGATTTGGTTTTTGGCAGTTTTGATAAACTGTAACAGAGGCTGTGAAGTTCAGATTTTCCTTTTAGATTAAGAGCTTCTCGAGGACAAGCACCACTTTGTCATCTTTGTTTCTCTCATGCTCTTTCCTCTCCCTCCTTCCTTCCTCTTTTCCTTTCCTTATGATCCCAGGGCCTAGCACATGCTAGGCACATGCTCTATCACTGACCCACATCCCCAGCTCTGAGGACTGTTTCTTGATCATCATTGTCTTTCTGGTATCTAGAAAAGCCTCTGGAATGTAATATATGCTAAGTGTTGGAAGACCCAGTGAGTGAATGAATGAATACACACAAAATAGTAGCAGTTTTCTCTCTTGATTGTTGGTTCTTATTCATGCCAGACTCATTCTTATATTGAGTTTTTCAGCTTCTGAAAGATTTGTAGTTTGGGGTGGATCACTCTGTGCTGTGGGGCACTGTCTTATGCATCATAGGATGCATAGCAGCATCTCTGGCCTTTGCTCATTGGCTGTTAGTAGTTCCCCTACCCAATTCTTGAGAATCAAAAATGTCTCCAGACATTGCGAAATATGAGAGACAAAAATTGCTCATCTTTGACAACCACTGAACTACAGACATTAAAGCTCCATAGCTTGAGGCCACCTCTTCTCAATTTGAGATAAGAACCAGGTCTGAGTAAAGTCAGAGGATATTTTTATTCCTTCAGGTTTATGATGGGATGGTGAGAGGGTCTGTGGCTTAATTTGCTTTGAACAAATCCCAGGGGCCTGTCCTCCTTGAGCATTTCCTCCCAGGCCCCAAAGGAGGCCCTCGACTTCTCCAGCTACTTTCTGTCTTGGTTTCTGACTTTTCTCTGTCCTAGGCTGGGATTCAAGCACAGTCCTGTTCCTTGATCCCATCAAGGAGGGAGGAGCTTATCAGCTTCTCCCCTTTTGGGTTGGACCCTGCTAAGCACATAAGGCCTGATTTCCTATTTAAATCCAGAGTTTTCACCTCCTTGGGACTCTGATGTGCAACTGGCTGGAATCTGTGTTAATGATGCCTAGTGATTTCTGTTGGGGTTTGCTACCTCTAAACAGATTCATGGATAGTGACATTATTTTGGATGTGAGTCAGGTTTCCTGAATCCCTTGGGATGATATAATTGGCATCACTAACTAACTTCCTTTGGGATTAACTCTAATTTTTGCTTGATTTCTGTTGCCCTAAGACCATCAATTCTACCCTCTTACCCCATTCTTGCTTGTTCAAGGTAAGTGGTAATTGCCAGCCTTGATCGTTCATTTCCTCTAGTAACATATATTAGACTCCCTCCTCAACAGGGACTAAATGCTCACTGA